CAGTGAGCAAAGGAATGTGAAACTGCCCAGCCAGAGGTACAGGCTTTTCTCATTGCTGCCACTAGAGGGCAGCAGGGCCTTCCAATGGTCAGCCTTCCCACTGTCTGCCTTGACCCCCAGGAAGCCAAGAACCTGGACCACTCTGTTCAGTAAAATAAAACATTCAGAGAGCTTACTAACCTGGCCCTTTGCTAGGTGCTATCATAAAAGTGAGAGGGGGGCGGGAGGAAGAATCCAAAAGTTAGACGAGTTCCTAGCTATGAATCATAAACTCTGCCTGGGTTTGAATTTCATGCTTGGCACTTTGTAGCTGTGTGACTTTGGGCAAGTTACTTAACCTCTCTGTGCCTCTGTCTCCTCATGTGTTCATTGGGGCTTAAAACATGTCTATAGAAAAGGGCTGTTTGAGGGGCAGTGCCCTTGAAGTGCAGAAAGTGAAGTGAATGTCTCGGCCTCTGAGGAGGCTCCCGGGGTAGGAGTGGGAAGCTGCACCCCACGCAGAGAGGTGAGAAGGCTGCGCCTGTGTTGGAGCCCAGAGGGGGGAGGGCACGCCTGCTGAGAAGGGGATGGAGCAGGGGAGGGTTCCAGGAAGGGGAGCTGTTTCTGTGAGATGGGCCAGGAAGGGAGGGAGCGAGGGCATGGGGGTGCTGCGGAGGTGGGCTGGGCGCCGTCCAGGTGACAGGTGCAAGGTGGGGCTGGGAGAGCCTTTCCAAGGCTGGGAGGAAGGGGGCGGGGAAGGAAGGCAGTGTCCCCAGGCTACACCTGTTGGCTGGAATACTGGGATCCTGTGTCCCCGCCAGCCCCCCTCCGGTAAGCCCCTCTGGGCCTCCGGGGAGAGGAGGAGCCTCGTGGTGGACTGTATTTTTAGTTCCCTGTGCCTCTCCCCAGCTGCTATAAGACACCTCTCCCCGCCCCCAGCTGCTTGCTGGCTGGAGGCTCCAGGAGGACAGCTGGGGAGAAGGGGGACTGGTCAGTATGGTGGCTGCCGCCAGAGGCCGAGAGGAGTGGGTAGGGGGCCTGAGTGGGCTCGGGGGCAAGCTGGGGGGCCTCGCACCGCTGAGGGCCTCGGGCTGGTTCTGCTGGCTCCAGGCCGCAGCCCTGCTCTGAGCCTGGCCTGGCGCTGGTCCAGGAGGGCAGACCCTTCCAGGAAGGAGCGAGCTGAGCCCGGGAGGGAGGCGTGTCCAGGCTGGCCTCCAACGGGGCGGCTCCTGGGAGGAGGAGGAAGGGAAGCGGTCAAGGTTGAGGGGACCCCTGGCTTTGAAGAGCCAAAGTGTTCTCATTCTTTCCATCATTGGTCCCCCTTGGTGGTATCTTAAAGCGTAACCCCCGACTCACTGTGGGGAGTCACTGGAGGCCCAAGGGCTAGCAATTCCCAGGCCCCCCGGGCTGGATGTGTGTCCCTTGAAAGAGAGGGGCCTGGTGCATAGCCACCTGGGGACTCAGACCTGTGTGGTGGATGCTGGAAGCCCCTTGCTCGGGAGTCCTCTCCGTGTATGTTTGTGACGAGAGGTGAGTCCTCAGAAACCGTTGTGGCTCTTCCCAACAGACAGGCTCCTGCCTGACTTTGCCAGGAGAGGGCGCCCAGTGAAAGCCCTGGGGGGTTTGGTCTGGACAAGGAGAGTCTTAGGTGAACCTGCAGCCTTCCTGCTGAGAAGCTGGTCCTCTACATCCCCAAGGAGCCAGCAGGACCAGGACAAGGGAGTAAGTGTGATGGAAAGGCGTATTTCGGTTCAGTAGAAAGAAGCCCCTTTAAAGTTTTAGGTAGTGAGCTCACTGCTCCTGGGAGTATTCAAGCATATGCTCGATGATGATCTTGAAGAAAAATTGCTGAGTTTAGTGGGAACTTGGACAAGATACCATCGAAGACCTCTGCTAACTTCAGGATACCATGGCTCTATAGTTCTAGACGTCTCTATCTCCACCTTCGCATGGTCCTGGAACCCAGAACCCGTTTCCAGAGTGCTGAAGGTTGAAGACTTGGCCTTAGAATTATAAATCTGGGGTCTTCAAGACTCCAGAATTTGCAGACTTGAGGATGCATCTACGAATCTCAGATTTTCACATTCAAAGGAGTCTATGATATAAAACAGAAAAAGAGAAGGGGGCAGGTCTGAGTTGGTGGGATCTAATTTTGCCCCATTGGGCATCAAACTGACCCATCTCTGTGTTCGCGCGCGTATGAGTGTGCGACATGGGCGTGCAAGGCTGCAGAAAGTTGTGCGTGCAAAGGGAGTGTGGCTTTCCTATTGGATGTGCCTCCAGTTTCCCTGCTCTGGCCATCTGAAGGCTGTCAGAGGGATAATTATAGTCCCAAACAGAGCCGGGGACTCCAGGTAACCATAGCAACCGTTAGGTAGCGCCGGTTCTGTTGTAGAGATGTGTAAGTACAAACAGATGTCAGTTCCTTCCTATTAGCTTAAATGGTAAAACTTAAAAGGTTTAGCAACTTCAAAGCCACAGGTTTCCATGAGTGTGCCAGTTAATGCGGGCGCCTGCCAAGGGGTGACAGCTTCATATTAAACACTTGAGCATCGGTAATGAGTTGATGAGTCTTTAAATACTTGGGCTGTCCCCAGACAACTCAAGAGGTGGAGATGAGAGAAAAGCTGTAGATTCGAGTTCCGTTCTCAGCTCTGCCGCTCACCAGCCTCCAAATCTTTGTTTCTTCCAGGCCGGGTGGGTTACTGGTCAGCGCTGCCCCGCGGTGGGGCTCGCTGTCCAGCAGGTGACAAGTAGGGCTGAAGCTGCTGTCTCCGAGTGACCATTCCGTTTGAAGCTGGGCCTGGTGCAAAGTGAGCCCTCAGTTCCAGGCTGTGGAATGAATGAAGGAAGGAAGGAATGAACAAACAAATGAATGAATGGTAGCCCCCTGGGAAACCCCTATGGCATTTTTAGCTGCTCACTTTGCTACTGCATCTTCCACTGTTAAATCTGGATGAGCTCCTGGGGGTCGCCTGGTTCAGCACCCTGCGCTAAGACTTGTGGGTGCCTTCTGAGCGCATCGTCAGGGACGGGCACCTGACCCTTTTGGTCATTAGGAACGAGCGGACTCAGTCAATCAAGAGGGCTCATTGAAAGGATGCACAGGGGGCCATATAGCAAGCTCATGGTCATCCTCAAATGGTGATCAGGCCTTACACAGGTCAGCATGGAGGGCGTTCTGCACCCAAGTTTGCAGGGAGAGGCTCGAGGTTGGGGTTCTTACTCAGGGTTGGTCATGAAACCGACTCTGACTCTGCATTTCCTCCTACCAGTGTCCTTGTTCACATTTTGAAGAGGAGATCTGATTGACACAGCTAATAGACATTGGCTGGGGGACAGAGCCCTGCCTTGGCTGCCTCGGGCCAGGTGCCAGGCCTGGTCCACTCAGCGGAGCCAGGCAAGTTGCAGGGAGAACATGACAGTGATGCCTGCCCTGCAGGAGCGGCTGGGGCAGGGCAGCTACTTTTAGAAAGAGCTAGATGTGGAGGGCAGTCATAACTGACACGTCGGATGCAGACCCAGGGCAGCCGGCATGCTTGCTTAGTCCTTCTCAGCCTCACTGCCCACAGCTGTAAAATGAGGTGATGCCCATTACCTCACAGGACCATGGTAACGATCAGATGTAACCCTGCCCGGGGAGGCACTCTGTAGACCGTAAAATCCTATGTACACGCAAGAAAGGACTACACCGTGACTTTACTCCTCCTATCTCTTCAAGGACACGGGGGGTTTCTTGAGCACAGACATGTGCTTTATTTGGTGGTGGTGTCCTCTGCATGTAGCCCAGCTTCTGACACACAGTAAGCACTCTGGGATGGAAGGACAGATGAAGGATGGTTAAATGAATGGATGGGTCAGTGCATAGGTGATGGATGATGGGTGGGTGGGTGGATGGACGGATGAATGGGTGGGTGAGTGGGTGGAAGGATGGATAGACGGATCATGGATAAATGGATGATGACGGATTTAAAGAAGGCCAATCCTCTTCACTCGCCTTCCTTGCAAAGTCATCTATCTCTCATCCCATGAACATGTATTCAATTCATACCTGGTACAAGGCACCGTGTGAGGTCCAAGAGCTACACAGATGAACACAACAGAGTCCCTGTCCCCTTGAACATCAAAGAAAGGAATGCACGGGTCCCACTCTCCGGGTTCAAGCCCCAGTTCTTCTATGGACCAGCTGCGTGGCGGCGGCAAGCTAACCTAACTTCCTCTCCACTAAGGGGGGGTGATGCCAGTCTCGACCATGGGGAGTTACCAGAAGCGAAGGACTTGGAAGAGGGTCTGGCGTGCAGCAGAGCCCCTGAGCACTAAGGGGGAGCCTGAAGGGAGACAAAGTCACATTACGCAGCGCACAGAGCAATACGGTAGCGCCACAGACAGATAATGGAAGGAGGAAGGAATCGATCGTGCCTGGAGGGGCGCATCAAGCAAAACTCTTCAGAGGGAAAGGTCTGAGCAGGCCCACCACGCCAGTTTTCTGGGCGGGAAGGAAACTTCAGACTCTAAGAGGTTGTGGATGTGCCTGGTTTCGCCAGCTGTAAGCACGAACGCACCCGGGTCCTCCCAGCACTCTGGCTGGGTGAGGGTCCTTCTGGAAAAGTGGGAAGAAGGAGATGGATAAGGGCCAGGATTGCCCCAGGGCCAGCCCGGGCCCCCGCTGCCCAAGCTTGGAAGCATGCCAGGTCCTCTCCACTGCCGGCAGGGAGAGTTGGGTTTCAGGTTGCTGGCGTCGGCCTTGGTGATGCCCTTTCTGTTGGCCTTTGAGTCCAGACAGTGGCCCAACCTCCTCCCCTCTCTTTCCACACACACAACCACCCCCATCTCCATGTGGCCTGAGTTGTCCTACCTCCCCACAATGGAGCCTGCCCTAAAATAGCTTCCATGTAAGGGCTAGTGAAAGGCAAAGATTAGACCCTGCATGGAGGTGGGGGTGGGGGTGGGGCAAGCTGTCAAGTGATCTGTGTCAAGCATCGGGAAGGTATAAAACCCTGTGGGGCCAGGCAGCCTCACTCCCCAGCTGCCAGGGCCAGGACACCCAGTCACCTGCGCCTGCTCTTTCTGTCTTCTTCAGGCTACGCGATGGGGCTCAGCGACGGGGAATGGCAGTTGGTGCTGAATATCTGGGGGAAGGTGGAGGCTGACCTCCCGGGCCATGGGCAAGAGGTCCTCATCAGGTAAAAGGAAGAGATTCCATGGTCCTACCACTGCTTCCAGAGGTCAAGGGTGTCCGACAGCCCCGGGGTTGACCAGTTGGCTGCGTTAGTTGAGTTTGTTAACTGACTTGCTATGTGGTCCCTCTTTGTTTCTAAGTGTTAGGGTTTGGGGTGGAAAAGGAAAGGGGACCCCCCCACACACCTCTGCGAGCAGTTGAGAGAAGTGTGGTGATGAAACCCGGACTGCCTAGAGCTCACCAAGAGGAATCATAGACAGAGTTAACCAGGGCCCCGAGAGACCCTACCCAGTTGCCTCACTCACTGGATGAGGACAGAAAGGACCCATGAGGGCACAGACGTCCCCCAGAGTCACAGGTCTGTGAAGTATCCAGGCTAAGACCTGGCCCTCAAGATGAGACATGTCGCTCTAACCCTGACTTTGCCACTGAGCAGCTCTGTGACCTGTGGGAGGTACACAACCTCTCTGAGCCTCGGTGCCTCCTCCTCCACCATGGGGGACCCCAGTATCTACACTGCAGAGGAGAAGAGGGGATCAAGTAAGATGAGGCAGGGACGGGCCCGGCACCGGTGCCCGCAGGTAGTGAGCCCTAGGTGTTAACAGCTGTTCTAGATGGAGCCCGGCTTGGGACCCTTCGAGTATTATCATTCGAAAACAGACGACAGAGGCCCAATAGTGACTTCTTTTGACTTTGGGAATGTCTTGAATCTGAGAGCTCAGAGCGGCGTGGCCTCAAAATACATCTTGCCTCCTAGAGCGAGGGGTTCCCGAGTAAACCAAAGAAAAAAGAATGCCAAGTTTTGTACATAGGGGGCGGCTTGTGGCTTGTAGATAGAACCTCGTTTTCCCATGGCCCTCCACCCCACACGGCGAGCGACCCCCTCCCCTCGCCTCTTCTCCCCTGCTCTGGGGCAGCCCAGACCCAACACCTGCGTGGGGCACCTCGAACGCCTGCTGCGGGGTTGCCGTGAGTGAATGGATTGCCCTTCGCCCTTGAATTGACAGATGAATGTCTCCTTCGTTCTGAGCTGGGGCAGATTTTTCTCTGCACTCGGATGTCCTTCCGGTCTCCCCTGGGCTTCACCTCCAGCTCCCGTGTCTGGGGCTGTTCTCCGGGGTCTGTGCCCTGGCTGGTTCATGATGGAGACACTTGAGGGAGGACAGCCGAGGAAGCTCTCTGTGAACTCTGACTGGTGTCTCAGGGTGTTTTCTTACGTCTTTCTCCTCCCGTCTCTGTCATCCGGCCGCCAGGGCTGCAGTAGATCCTGTCTGATTGGATCAAAGACTCAGCCCCAAGCTGATAGCAACTCCTCAGCTACCAATTTGCTGTGTGACCTTGAACAAGCCACGACTCCTCTCTGGGTCTTGTTTCTCTATTGACTGAGTGAAGGGTTCTCTGAGCTCCTGCCCGCCCTCACTTCCTGGGGTTCTCCAAGCCCACGATCCCCTGCTGCCGGAGAGGAGGCAGCGAGTGGGCGGCCAGTGTGCAGAGCAGGTGACTTTCCAAGGTGACTCGAGGTCTGCCAACCCCAAGGTAGTGCCTGGATATGTTGAAGGAGACTCGGGGTATTGTGTCATCAGGGGAAACATTTCTTTCTTCCCGGGGGGGTGGGGGTCAGAGAGTCCTGCCACGGGCCAGGTGCCAGGGACAAGACGTGATGCTTAAGGCTCGTGGCTCCTTAAGACTCCAGAGAGCCCGATGCCCTATCACATCTTAGGCTGTGGGACAGGCAGAGACCATGACAACTGGTTCTGCCTTCTTGGTGCTGGGGGGAGAGGGGGAGGGGAAGGGTGCTCACTCCCAGGCCTGCCAATGCCCCTGGGTGACCCGGCCTCTTGGTTGTGCCTCAGATAATGAACCTGGAAGGTCATTTCTCCCATGCCTCGGATGACAAGAGAGGGCAATTCAGTTCAGTGGAGCCTGTTACTGAAATGCCGAGGGCTTCGCGGCGAACCATGACCGCAAAGTTCTAGAACGTGAGAGCTGGGGGGCAGCCGGAGAACCTGGTTCCAGGAGCGGACCCAGCAGCGAGGGGGCTGCTGCGTGGGCCCCGGGCCCCTGCCTTTCCTGCGCTTGCCCAAACGTTCCTGCTTTATTAACTTTTACATTTGAACAAAGGATTTCGAGGTCATGAAAAATGTGAAAATCACTGCTGGTGGCCAGTGATGCTCGTAGTACAGAGAGGAAACGGCCCGAGAGTCTCAGGCAGCCGATGGCAGCTGCAGGCAGAACCCACAGTCCCCGATGCTCACCGCGATCCTGCGCCACGGAGGTGGTGCCGAGGATGCGGGAGGTGGGGGTGGGCGTAGAAATGAGGAGGAGGAGGGCAGCGGACGTTTGAGCAGTTCACACGGCAAGGTGTGTATTGTTCTTATCTCCACATTTAACAGAGAGGTTAAGTCACTCGCCCAAAGTCCCACGGCTGGAATTCAGATCCAGGCAGCTCGGTCCAGCGTGTCTGCTCCCACGGCTGTGCTCTTGCCCGGAGGCTGGCGCATCCCCCCTCTGGTCCTTTGGTTCTGGAGCAGAGAACTGTGCAGGTCCGACAGCCCTCCGTCTCCCGCGGGGCCCCCTCTCTCTGAGCTGCCTGCAGACCTGTGATGAACCAGGCGGGCCGATGATGGAATTGGGGATGAATGCACTAGGCAAGGGGCGTTTCTGCAGGGCGAGGGCCTTCTGCGACTTATTATGGGGTTGTTGCTGTCACGCAAGTCTGGGTGTGGCCTTCTGTGGCTGCCCTGGGGACCCTCAGCTGCAGGCTGTGTGGGGGCGGACGTTTCGGGGGGCACTCCTTAGACACACTCTGTACTGTTTGAAAGGGATCTGAGCTTCCCCTGTGGTGCCTGGTGCTCAGAGTAGGGGATGAGGCCAGGGCCAAGCCCTTGAATTTGGAGGCTGAGAAATGAGCTAGGTTTACAGCTGGGTGAAACAAGACCCAGAGAGGGTGAGTGGCCTCTTTCATGTCACACAGCACATCGGAGACAGAGCTGGGGCCAGAACTCAGCTTCCGAAATTCTCAGTCCCAGGTTTTCTCCCAGATATCTGGAGGACTCCCAAGATGTCTGAGATCCCTGGCCCCTTTGGGTCCCAGGTGTTGGCCTCAGTCCCCTTCCGGTGTCCCGACGCCAGGCCTCGGCCTGGGGTGCTAGGTCTCGCTTATGTCAGGCCGGAGTTCCAGGCTCATTGTCACCAGATACTAATAGCCAGGAGCTTTGGACCCTGGGGCGGAAGGTGCCAGACATGAGCTGTCAGTGACACACAGGCTTGGCCCGGGCCCGGGGTGAGGTGGTGACATTAGACATGGCCGTGGACAGCCCTGGGCTTTCTGGGAGAGCTGGGGGGTACACCCCTGGGGCAGGGAGTGCTCCCAGCTGTGCTGTGCGGTGCATGCGTGTGTGTGTGTGCGTGTGCGTGGATGTGAGCACGGGTGTGTGCTGGAACGCATGCAAACTGGAGTGTGTCCGCAGCCGGTTTAAGGGGTCCCGGAGCCAGGAAGCTACACAGGAGGAATCTTTGAAGGACCTGGGCCATTAGACAGGAGGAGAGAGCCTGGGCAGGCAGGGTTACTCCCACACACATTTCAGGGTGCAACCCAATGGACAGGGTGAGTTATGGAGCCGTCTAATATTGCGCTTGGTTCTGGGCTCTGCCACCAACTGGCCCCGTGACCCTGGGCTTGTCACCTACTGCGGTGGTCCTCTGTTGGCCCAGGAGTGAGATGGGAAAATCACCCCACGCAGGGCCAGGTATGACTCCCTTTAACCAACGCCAGCCTTTCCAGGCAGGAAAGACTGAGGTCCAAGGCTGCAGGTGCCTGCTCGGGGTCACGGGGGCGCCCCTCTGTGCCAGCTCACGGGCCCTGGCAGGAGCGAGGGCCTGGTCTTTGGCAGGCAGCTCCCACCAGGCCTCCGCGGCTGCAGTGCAAGGGGCCCAGGGGTGCAGGGAGCCAGGGCGCAGGCTCGGAACCAGCAGGAGAGCTGCCCCGAGCGGAGCGCCTCCCACAGGCAGCAGTGAGCACCTGCGGCTGGAGGTGGGCAAGCAGCCCAAGGAGGGTCCCTAGGCCGAAGCTGCAGAGATGGTCCCCGGCACGAACTCCATTTTGTCACTCAGACCTGGTTTCAGTCTGGCTCTTGCTCACACCAGCTCTGTAATACTGCACTAGGACTTCACCCCTCCGAGCCCCCGTCCCCTCATCTGTGAAGTGGGGATAATATGACTCTCAAGGAAGTGCAGGGGCAGAGCCTGGCACAAGGCCTGGCACACGGCAGGTGCCCAACAAACCCAGTGTCCTTGGGCCCCCGTCTCCGTTCCACCCTGGATGCCACTCTGCCGTCCGCCCTCCTCAGAGAGAGCCGGGGTGCATTGCAGCGATGTCTGCCCTTCCCGCCTCTCACAATAACAACGGAGAAGAGAGAAATGATAAAACGTAATAATGGCAAGCATGTCTACTGCCCGTATTATTTGGCACACAGCAGATACGACCTCATTTAATTCCTACAGCAGTTCTAAGGGCAGGGACTCGTCCCCATTTCTCTGAGGAGCAAGCGGAGGCACAGAGAGGTGAAGTGAATTGCCCAAGGTCACACAGCTGGGGGGCGTGAGGGAGTCCAGCCTTGAACTCGAGTCTGGCCACCTCCAGCTCCCACCGCGTGCTCCCGCACCTGACTCCAGACCTTCTTGTGCCCACAGTCTCTTTAAGGGCCACCCTGAGACCTTAGAGAAGTTTGAAAAGTTCAAGAACCTGAAGACAGAGGACGAGATGAAAGCCTCTGAGGACCTGAAGAAACACGGCACCACCGTGCTCACCGCCCTGGGGGGCATCCTCAAGAAGAAGGGGCAGCATGAGGCGGAGCTGAAGCCCCTGGCCCAGTCACATGCCACCAAGCACAAGATCCCCGTCAAGTACCTGGAGGTGGGGAGCAGGGCCAGGGGCTGGCGGGGGGATGGAAGGAGAGGCCTCAAAGTGATGAGATTTGGGTTCAAGTCTCAGCTCAGCCACTATCTTGCTGGGTGACCTATGTCACTGCTCCGGTCTCCTCATCTGTAAAGTGGGCGGTCACCTACTTTGCCTTCCTCCTGGGGTGACTGAGATGATATTTCTCTGCCAAAGCTGTATGTCGTTACCAAGGAAGAAGGGGAGAGGGGCCAGCTTGCGTTGTCTCCACAGGTAGGTCCTGTTATCATGGCCACTTGACAGATGAGGAAACGGAGGCACAGAGAGGACAAGTAGCTTGTGCAGGGCCACAGGTAGCAGATGGCAGAGCCAGGCTTCGAGTGAGGCCTGCATTCCTGCAGAATGCCAGCTCAACCCTGTGCCACTGGGCATCTGAGACACGCAGGACTCGAGGCGGCCGCTCAGTGGCTGGGGCTCTGTCTGGTGTGGGGGCGGCCGGCAGGCTGGCTTTACTGGTTCTGGCATATTTACAGGTGAAGCTACAGAGCCTCGGGTGTCCTAGGGGGGAGGGGCTGTGTGACAGGGAGCACTAGGGAGCTTGGGGACAAAGGGTCATGTGCATAGGTGCGTGCTCAGGAGTGAGAGCAGCAGACGGGCTGGCATCCCACGAGGATAAGGAGAATGGTGGTAGGAGTTGCCTGGGTCACTCTATGGAATTCTCACAATTACACCAAAAGGTTAGGAATTGCATTCAGTGGTTTCTTTTCCGCTCACAAAAAAGGAGGTCAGAAGTAGGGAGTCCAGAACTGGTATGGAAGCCCTAGGGACATAGGCTCTTTCTGTTCTGCCATCCAAAGTTGACTCATAGTCCAAGATGGCTGCTGGAGCTCCAGCCATCTAGTCCATATTCCAAACAGGAAGCAGCAGAAAGGAAGGCTTCCTGTTTGGAATAAGGAGTCTCGGAAATCTCATTCAACAATTTTGTATACGCCCCATTGGCCAGAAGTTGGTTGTAAGACCACACCTAAGGAAGCACAGGAAGCTGGCGAATGTAGTTTATGGACACTCCAAATACAATTAACATTCTGTTACCAGGAAAGGAGAAGAAAATGGACATGGGGCAGGCAATCAGCAGTCTCTGCCCCAGGCAGGTACCTTTTTTACCCCCATTTTACATGTCTGGGCTCAGAGAGGTTAAGCAGCTTGCCCAAGGTCGAACAGCTAATAAGCCAGGAGGTAGTTTGACCTGTGGTACCCTGGAACCCAAGTGCTTAATCCCTGTGACACAACGTGCCCCCATCAACAACCAGCACCCGCATCAGCCTCACCTCTCTGAACCCCTAGGGGCCCCCACATACAATCACACACAAGCAATCCTGCCCGCCCAGCCCCGAGCATCACGTGAGGAGACAGCCCTGCCTTTGAGGCTGCGCGTGCTGAGCCCCCCACCCCATCTTCTCTTGGCAAATCCCTGTGCATCGTCCACGGCTCGGCTCAGAAGCTGTCGCCCCTGCACGAGGTAGTCAGCTGCTCCCCCGCCAGCCCTCCCCCGAGCCAAGGCGCCTGGTCCTCCCCTGCCCGGCTGTGTTGTGATCTGCTTTCCCCGCTGTCTTCTGGCTGGGACCACGCTCCCCAAGGGCAGAGCCGGGCTCTCCCCCATGGCCGAGCCCCAGTGGTGGGCTCACGGTACAACTGGAATGACCGACACCCTCTCTAAGGAGGAGGAAACTGAGGCTGAGAGAGAAAACCTGGTAGCCAGGTTGCCCCACCAGCTAGCGGACTAGAACCCAGGTCTGTGCAGACAAGTGTAATGTGCTGCAAACGATTAAGACAGAGCCCACGAACGTTCTTCCCCTCACCGAGGGACCTCCTTCCACGAACTTCATGAGAAACGGCTCCTTCCGCCTGGGAATGAGGGGCCGCAGAGGGTGCTGGGTGCTAAGGGCCACTGTCTTTTCTCATTTGTCCAGTGGCCCATCCCACAATTTTCTAGAAATCAGTCGCTTTGCCAGAGACTCAGGAAAGGCTGACTGGGGGGGCCTGCGGGGGGTCCCTTTCCAGGTGAAGTCACACATGGTGGGTCAGAGCAGAGCTGAGCCTGGGACTTGGGTCTCCCAAGTCCCTCGAGGGCAGGGCTCGCTGCACCACCCTTGCAGCCCCACTTTATTTTGCTGCATTTATAACATTGAAGGTGAACTTGACATATGTCCCCAAATCAAGGCCCAAAGGTAGGTGCTTGTTGTTCTCCAGCCAAATGGTGTTTGCTGGGTGGACTTGTGCTTCTTGAGGCCTCCCTCAGCACGCTGACTCCCGCCCCTGCTTCCAGTCACTTGTACCCCTGGGCGCCCCGAGAAAATGGGACAACCCAACCTGGTGCAGTCCCGGGCTCTGTCCCTGGCTCTGTCCGGCAGGCAGTCGTCCACAGTCTCCCGAGCAAGCTCCAGCTAGCCCGTCCTTGTGCTCTGTGACCTCTGTCTGGACCTCTGTTTGTTTTTGATGTTGTTAATCCTCACCCCATGATATTCTTCCATTGGTTTTTTAAGACAAAGTGGAAGAGAGGAAGGGAGAGTGAGAGGGAGAGAAACATCGATGTGAGAGAGACACATCAATTGGTTGCCCCCAGCACGACCCTGACCAGAGCTGGGGATCAAACCTGCAACACAGATAAATGCCCCTTGACTGGGAATTGAACCCGAGACCCTTTGGTCCGTGGGCTAATGTTCTAACTGCTGAGCCACACCAGCCAGGGCCCCATCTGGGCCTCTGTAAGCACCCTGCCTGGTCCACTGGCCAGCGTTGTGGCTGGCAGCAAATCGTTAAAAAAGCGCAGGAGCATTTTACATCCGTGAGACCTTCCCGTCCTAAAGCAGCCTCGTGCTATAGGTTTTCCCACCTCCGTGTTCCTGGTAATGACAGTGTGGATGTGCAAACAGCCAGTGATGGCGAGGCCAATGCAAGGGGTCACTGTCCTGGGGGTGAGCCGTCACTGTCCTGGGGGTGAGCCAGCACTGTCCTGGGGGTGAGCCGCAGGCCTGGGCCTGTCCGCCTCCTCTCCTTCCTCCCACCAACACTGTGAACTCCAGGGCTGCTCTGGGCACAGGGAACTCCATGCTCTGCCCCTGCCCCTCCCCCAGGCTATTACAGCAGTGACCACACTCAGCCATTAATGCCATTTTGCATTTTGATTAATGCAAAAATCAAAACATGCGGATGGAAATGGTTTCTTTCAAGATTTTCTGACTGCAAAATGCTGGATAAAATCACAGAGTGTGAGCATTTCCCTCCCTCCTGTTCTCCACCCCTGTGGTGGCGGACCGACCTCTTGCCTGGCTGTGGTTGGGTTCTGGTCCTGAGCACGAGCTGAGGAGGGTAGGGGATGAGCTGGACCCCTGGCTGCAGGACCTTGGGCACATGGCTTAACCTTTCCTCATCTGTACCAAGACGGGCCTCACTTTCCCCATATGACCCTGTCTTCTGGGTCGTGGGGATTAGAGGAGTTAATCTGTGGAGACCACTCCGAAGAGCCTCGTGTATGGTAAGTGCTGGATAAATGGCCCTGGAAGGGAGAGATGGGGCTCCATGCGATTCCCACCTGGCTTCTGGCTGTCCGGTCCAGTGACCTGCACCCTTGTCCCCTCCCTGCAGTTCATCTCAGACGCCATCATCCAGGTTCTGCAGAGCAAGCACTCCGGGGACTTCGGCGCCGACGCCCAGGGGGCCATGAAGAAGGCCCTGGAGCTGTTCCGGAACGACATCGCGGCCAAGTACAAGGAGCTGGGCTTCCAGGGCTAAGCCCCGGAGCCCCACCCGCCCCCACCCACCTGGGCCTGGCGCAGGGGAGGTGGGGACTGAATCTCACGTAGTCCTAGAGTTTGCTTCTGAGTGTCTGCTTGGTGTACGAGAGGTGGGCGGGAGAGGGGGTGCTGGGGCGTGGGCCGGGCAGGGGCGGGGCTCCCTGCGGAGGGTCATCACTGTGGGAACAGGGAGCCGCGGCCCTTAGCTCACCGTGGACTGCTGAGTGTGGGTCAAACTTAATTCTCCTCTCACCTCAACTCCAACCCAATTCCTTCCAACCTCCAAACTGACCCACACCTGCTCCCTCACCTTGAACCCCCAATCCAAGCTGGAAACTGAGCCCCAGCCCCAGTAATTCTCTGACCCATCCCCCCACCGCTGAAGACAGGAGAATGTCCCTGTGCAATGAGGGTCTGGGCAGGGCGGGGCAGTCACGCCCCGCCCACGGGAGGCGTGGCACGTCTGGAACACAAGTGTCCTTCTCAGCTAATGGAGTGACTCACCTGGTTTTAATAAAAGACTCTGCCAAATCACAGTCTCTACCCCGGAGTTTTTCACCCCCTAGAGCAAGTGAAGGGGCTTCTGGGGAGAAATGGTGGGGAGATGGGAACTGGCCGTGGAAGAGCCTTGTGGGAGAAGGAGGAGGGCGGGGAGAGGAGGAAGCAGGGAGCTGGCGGGAGAGCAGGAAGGGAGAGAGACTGGGAACCGTCTCCTTCGGCCGCTGCTCTGTGGCGGGGCAACGCTGAGCACGGGGCACGGAGAGCCTCATCTGGTGGGGACGGTGGGCAGGTCAACAGACCTTTGTCACACGGAGCGATCAGTGCCAGGAGCAGGAGCACAGAGCCAGGGGGAGGTGGTCAGGTGGTCACAACAACCTGAGCAACATGCCAAGGACACTAGCTAGTAAGTGGCAGAGCTGGGTTCAGGCGGTGTCCAGGAAGGCAGGGAGGACTCCAGCTAGGGAGACAGCTAGGCGGCCAGCCCGTGACAACTGCTGACCTTGTGGTCACAGAGAAAGGACAGACACGAGGGAACAACTTACAAACACGAGCCAAGAGACAAACTGCGTATCTACGAAGGCCAAGTGCTCGGGCAGACTGTGTGGGCATCACTTTGAGCACCCAGGATAAAACACTGCATGTGACCCGGCTGGAGAGGAGGCCGTGGGCAGGGGCCATGGAAAAGGGTCTGGTAGTCCGGGTCGTCTGGGCGCCCAAGACTCAAGGCGCCAACTCCGGGAAGCCCCAAGTCCTTGGCCTCATACATTTTCAGGGGCTCCCAGGACAAGCAACCCAGTGCAGGGGCTCAGCCCACTGGAATGAGCCTGACCTCACGGCCCCAAACCTCAGACCACACCAAGGCTCACGGCTGCTGGACAGGGCAGAGGTCATCTGCCGAAGGTGGACATGTCTCAAATCCGAACAGGCTCACTTTCCAGGCTGTGTTGACGCAGCAGACGACACGAGCAGGCCCACCTCCTTCCGTCTGCGTGTGCACCAGACTTTGGGAACTGGATGAGCTCTGAGAAGGTGGGAGGGAAGGGCGGGGGGAGGCGGGAAAGGGGTGCTTTTGGATCTTGAAGCCTGGAAAAAAGCTCCACGTATTTATAGTAATTCGGTTGAAGGCCCGGGCACTGGGAACTTGGGCACAGAGTATGTGTGCAGGATTTAAAGTGGAGGAGGCTTGTCCCTTCTCTCAAACCACGGACATAGTCGGGGACACCGTGTGAATTGATAACTGAATCCGGGCAGAGTACAATCAGGGGTGCACTCATTCAACAGATATTTGTAGATCACAGCAAGTAAAATAAAACAACAAACAAACAAAAACAAACTCAGTTTATACCTTCAATATGCACAAAATGCCACTTTTTTTTTTTTTATAAGTCAACTGAATTTTTGTTGGAAATCCTCATTGTGGCCGGGTGACAGATACTTAATCTCAGTCTCCTTGAGGTGTCTCCCTAGTTCCAAATACATTTCCTTGGGGTTTTGCTCATTCCAAGGGGTTCTGTGTGCCAAGTTGGGGTGAGTGTGGACGGTCCAGTGGCCTCCTGGCTGTTGCTGTCATCTTTCCCCGGTGGTGTTCTCAGGACTGCTGTCCCCCACCTGGTCTTCAGTTACTTATTGTCCCCTTCAAGCATCTGAGAAATTCCGGGGCTGCCCAAGGCTCCCTCTGCCTGAGGTCACTTCCTTAGGGACTCCCCTGCCCTGTGGGGACGCGGGGCACAGGCGGCCTGTGTTCAGGGCCCAGGGGCCTGTCTGAGCTTTCACGGTGCCCTCCAGGGCTTGGCAGGGCTGCCTGGACGGCTGCCCCATGCGGGGGCCTGGCCGAGGGAGCTAGTACGAGCTGGCTCCGGTCTGGGCTCCAGCGGCCAAGCCGCCCGTCCAGAAGGGGAGCCTTTTCCTGGCTCACAAATGGTGCTCTCTGAGCTGGCATCGAGCAGGGAAAAAACCACTTTCTGGGAACCACCACTGACTACAACCACAGTGTTTCCTTTTCAGCTCTCTTCCTTCTGACCGCTCAGAAAATCATTTTCCAGCCGGGCAAGCAGGAACGCCTGCGGGTCCTCCAAATCTTTCGTCCTATGTGTTTCTTTCGGTTCTTCTCAGGGCCTGAGCTTTTGAATCTGCAAATCCAGGCAAGAGACCCATTTTTCTTGCTTTCAGTGGTCACATCCTGTGCTGGGGCTTGGGCCCAGAAATGCTTGCTGTCTGAAAAGCAAAGAGCCGAGGAGGAAAGGACATCCCACGGGGAAGACAGGCTGATATGTTCAAAATATGATCCTGCCACAGCTTTGATTCTGCATTGATTTACCAAATATTTATTGAGCAAATGCTATGTGCCAGGCCCTAGATTGGGATCAGGGTCCCAGGCCTCATGCAGCTTCTGAGGTGTGGACATGGGGAGGAGTCTGGGCGGGAAGGGGAGGAGTCTGGGCGGGAAGGGGGAGGAGTCTGTGCAGGCCGAGACCGAGAACAGCAGGGATTTTGATAAGCAGAGAGAAGTGTGTCAAGTGCCAAACTGCACTAGGAGAGGCTCTCAGAGTAAACTCACCAATGGTGTGAGTGCACGTGTCAGATAAACATTTACGGAGGCCTGAAGTGTGCCGGGCACTGGGCTCAGCTCTGGGCCCCACGGTGACGGTGACACAGACAGGCCTGGCTGTGCCTTCCGGAGCTCACCAGGCAGAGGGCTCTGGGAGTAAGGGGGTGGGTGGGGCGGAGTCCTGCAGAGTCAGAGGAGACAGGCCGGTCACTGAGGACTGAAGCCACACAGGACTGAAGTCACACGGACGGGGTGCATTGCCCAGGGTTCTCCTGAGAAACAGGACCTACAGGGTTTATTTCTGTCTGTCTGTCTATCTATTATATATTTTATAAATATAGATGAAATATTACATTTGAAAAGGTATATATAAGAATATATCATATATAATTAATATATAAAATTTACAGGAATATATAATATATAGTTTATATAGATACATAAAATATATAACAAGAAATATATATATAATATCTCTTCAATGGTCACCTTTCCTACATCACTGCTATCTCCTGGATTTCCTGTAAGACGTGTTTTGGTCTGACTCACGTTGTCCTCCACGACTCTCTCCTATTTTCCACCTCTTTGCTATTTTGTGTTCTGAGTAAATATATCCCTTTTTTTCTTCATTGCTTGGTTATCCATTTTTTAAAGTTTGTAAGAATTTTTTATCCAGAATTATTATGGTATTAAGAGTGGAACATATTTCACTACATCTTGTGTGTCGTAGTTTCAAAAATGGAAATCTTTACCATAATTTATCATTATGATTTTGGGTCTTTTTTGCTACCTGCTTGGGTTTATCGGTTTCCCCTGTTGGACAGAGAGAGCATCACTGCAGATGATGAGCCCCTGGCCCGGTGCTCAGTGTTGGCACCATGGGAGCCTGGATCTGAATATCTGGTTCCTGAACTTGAGCTGTGTGTGTGTGTGTGTGTGTGTCACCATGTGGAGGTGTCTCCACGAAGATGCTGGGTGTGTGTGCACCTCAGTGTGAGACTGAGTGTGTGAATGTCGAACTCCACTGCTAGGTCTGATCTTGGCTTTGAGTCCATTTACCTGTTGCTCTGAAATCCACAGGGGTCGCACCCGCAGGACAGCCGACGTGACCTCTCCCGGACTGCAAACCCCAGCTCTATGACTATGCCCAGACTCTGGCTTTCCAGGTGAAGCCAGGCTGAGAAGCTGGGGGCACGAAAGGCCTGGGCGTGCACAGGCAGCGGCACCCTGAGAGTGTGTGAGGGCACTGGAGCTCCTGACTGGGCAGGCCTTCCGCCAGGCGGGGCTGGAGGTATCAGGTGACCAAAAAAAAAAATGCTGGCACAGGCTTCGTGAAGTATACCACGAAGACACAGGCGTGCTTGTCATTTTACTGCTAATTTAAATGATACCACATTGTGTATCTCACTGAGTGCTCCCTCTGCTCTATCCCCATTCATTGAGTGTTCCCAAACAAGTGAAAGGTGAATCTTCTTTTTGATTTATTTATTTTGGTTAATTAATTAATTTTTGTTACAGATGTTTCTCCTTTCCCTCTCAGACACCCTCCACCCTATCCCAACCCCCACCCTGACCCCGCAAGCATTGTTGTCTCTGTCCATTGGTTGCGTATACATACATATAAGTTCTTGGGTTCATCTCATCCCCCCACCTCTCTTCCTTCTCTGAAGTTTATCAGTCTGAACCCTACTCCTTTCTATGTTACTGGGTCTATTTTGTTCATCAGTCTTTTGTTCATTATATTCCACAAATAAGTGAAATCATGTGATATTTGTCTTTCTCTGATTGGTTTGTTTCACTTAGCATAATACTCTACTGGTCCCTCCATGTCATCTCAAAGAATAAGAGATCTTTCTTTCTTACAGTTGCATAGTGTTCCATTGTGTACATGTACCACAGCTGCTTTTTTTTATCCACTTATCTATTGTTGGACACTTGGGCTGTTTCCAGATCTTAGGAATTGGTAATAGTGCTTCTATGAACATAGGGGTACATATATTCTTTCTGATTGGTGTTTCAGGCTTCTTAGGGTATATTCCTAGAAGTGGGATTACTGGGTCAAATGGCAGTTCAATTCTTAATTTTTTGAGGAAACACCATACTGATTTCCATAGTGACTGCACCAGTCTGCATTCCCACCAGCAGTGTACTAGAGTCCCCTTTTCTCCACACCCTGGCCAGCACTTGTTGTTTGATGATTTGTTGATGGCGGCCATTCTGGCAGGTGTGAGGTGATACTTCATAGTCGTTTTAATTTGCATCTCTCTGATGATTAGTGGCGTTGAGCATTTTTTCATATGTTTCTTGGCCATTTGTATGTCCTGTTTGGAGAGGTGTCTATTTAGTTCCTCTGCCCATTTTTTAATTGGGTTCTTTGTCTTCCTTTTGTTGAGTTGTATGAGTATTCTTTTCTTTTTTTATCCTCACCTGAGGACATTTTTGCATTTATCTTCAGATAGAGTGGGAGGGAGAGAGGGAGGAAGAGAG